CAAAATGAGCTGGAAAAAACATCGAAAATAGCTGGAAAAAATTTGAAATCTGATACCAATATAGGTATTGGTGGTTTTGTTTGCATATCTGGAGCTTCTAAGAGCGTATGCCCAAACTCATTTTGTATTAAACGAACTACTACTCAATAACAAAAAATATATAAGTAGACTAATGATTTGGAAATGGCTGCTAAAATTTGCCTCTTTGAAAGCCACTCTGTATGTCTGTCTTACGGAGTGTGACGGTTACTAATTGCGGGTGGTTGTTGTCTGGTACAATACAACGACTGGTACGCCTGGTGTCATAAGATGATGAGGAGAAGCGGGACAATGAGGAGAATCAAAGAGTTGGTGAAAACTAAGCATGTCTTTTCAGGTGTTCAATATCCGGTGTCAGACCGGCTAAACGTCGATCAAGTTTTCGATCGGCGGACGGGGAAGCCTCGTCATGAAGTACTTAGAGACTACTTTATCAAGGTTTGTCATAAATTATACTTTTCTAGGAAAATTAGCGTGCCTTTATATGAGTTTTGTTGAAAACTCAGCTTTTTCTTAGGTGATGGATTCTTTTTCTTGCTATCAGTTTCTCAAAACTGCAGTGAGATTAGAATTCTTGTTTCATGAGTTTTCCTCGCCAAGTGTTTTTATTGGAAAATTCATCACTTTATGGGTTCAAAGTGTCACTTTCTTGACAGCCCCTTTCCAAAACTCAGCTGATTGAGGGGACGAGGTTTTATTTTCCAGTTAAAATAAATCAGAATATTTTAGGAGGGTCGTATTGAGGAGGACGCAGCAATTCGAATCATACAGGAATGTACAGCACTGTTTCGGCAAGAGAAAACTATGCTTGATATAGAAGCACCGGTGACAGTATGTGGTGACATACACGGACAATTTTACGACCTCATGAAATTATTTGAGGTAAATTATCTCGCTTTCCATCTATTTCATTTTTTTGTAGAGCAATTTTAATTGATTTTCTTGTTTAGGTTGGTGGCTCACCAGCTACAACCAAGTACCTGTTCCTTGGTGATTACGTGGATCGAGGATACTTTTCCATTGAATGCGTCTTGTACTTATGGGCGTTGAAGATCTGCTATCCTAACACGTTGTTCCTTTTACGAGGGAATCATGAATGTCGCCACTTGACCGAGTATTTCACATTTAAACAAGAATGTGAGTTTTCTTCATCGTTTTGTTTAGCCATTTATTTTTGTTATCAAAGAGTTTGGCAGTTATTTCGAGCAAAGTTCTCAGTTAGTGGTCGCTTTAAAGGCATGTTCCAGGTCCACTGGGGGGTAATGGGATCTTGACGCAGTCT